CAACATGGCCTACATGGCTAAAAATAGAACATAGGGGGTAAAATACAAGTTTTGTCTATTATTTTGGAAACCATTATAAAGAGAGAAAATCTGACAAGAGCAAAAATGTTCAGAATGTTGAGCTCTACCAATTGTCCGTACATGTCAAAAATGTCAGATGACTTCTTATAGGAGTTATTGCCTTTATATGACAAGTTTTACCATTTTTTTGGTCATTTTTGCCTACTATCTTGAAAACTGTAATAGATATAGAGAAACTTTAAAATGATCAACAAGACAAGTTCTACAAATAGGTCAACATGGTCGAAATGGTCAATCGACTCCTTATTAGAGTTATTGCCCTTTGATGATGATGATTTTGACCATTTTTTTGCGTTTTTGCCTTATATCGGAAAATTATAATAGACAGATAGAAACTTAGCTAGGCTAAAATGATCAGCAAAACAAAATTTACAATGAAGACAATATGGAGGAAATGGTCAGACGACTCCTTTTTGGAGTTATTGCCCTTTAAAGATGATTTTCACTTTTTTTATTGCATTTTGCCATATATGATAGAAAATTATAAAAGATAGTAAAGATACACTTTAAACATGTTAAATCACACAAATTATCAGCAAGTCAAGATCTACTTACAAGTCAAATTTTGCCGATATAGTTTAGTAGACTGTCACTCTTTATAGGAGTGATTGCCCTTAAATGAGGATTTTTTTTATCCTCTTTTGTGTTTTGAGCAAAAACTAAAGAAGATAGAGAGAAACTAAATAGGCTAAATTATCAGCCATACAAGATCAACAAAACAGATTTTTTTTTCATGAATTCTATTCCTGTCCACAATGTTGGAGAATGTCCTTTGTTGAATATGCACATATACCAAGGTGAGCGACACATGCTCTTTAGAGCCTCTATTTTTTTATGGCCTAGCCGTGAGGTGAAAAAAAAAAATATATTTATATACCGGGGTATTGTAAAGTATCAGCTGCGAGTCACAATATCATTATGAAACTTTTTGTTAAGGACATACGATACAGTAACTTGAAAACGAGATCATACAGCAAAAAATGACGTTTCTTTTTCTAAAATCATGAAACTTTGATAAAAATTAATTATTTCCAAAGAATTGTTATACAAATTTAGAGCATACTTATGTAAAGAAGATTTTCCAAATGTTTTTACAAAAATCCGCTTTTGTTTATCTTTTGAAACAAAAAAGTTAGGTATCCAAATGTCCAATAAAACGAAATTTTGAGTAAATGTCTAAAATTTCATACCTTAATTTGTGATTGAGTTATTTCCCTTTGAACAGAAATGGTTAATTATATATGTAAAGTTTGATTACACTTCCAGATAAGTTTTATAGATTTTGAAAGACATTGTATTAATGATAAATGACATTTTGGATTTTTTTTTCTTTTCTTTGGTAAATTGTTTGAAGAATTTTGTGGTAGGTTTGTTTGTTATTCTGTATAAACTAATTTTCTGAATGCTATATACATATTTTTAGGCAGTTAAGCTGCCTTATGCTACCACCCTAGATTTGTGTTCTTCCCACTAAATGGTGTAAAAAGTGCTATTGTTATTATCTAGCTGGCTAATATGTTATTTAGAACTAATTGGGCACTTTTTTCATACTTTCAATTCTGGAATACAAAAAATATGACAAGAAAAACCTTAAATGATCGCGGCGAACTACCCAAAACTTTTGAAGTTGCACATAGGAAGTAATGCTCAATAGAAATCCGTACGTAGTTTATCATCCCATATGCTTTTGGCTAAGATGTCAAAGAACAATTGTATGAAATATTTCATCGCCGAAAATCTCTAATTACAAGTCGTTTACATTTCCCAAATGTCCAAAGGCGAAGGAATATTGTTCATGTACACCAAATCTCTATGATAGAGGAAATAAAGTTATATGTAGTAGTCTAAGTTGGCGGTAATTTTAACTTACACAAAACGTAAGGTAAGTATTCTGATGTTTTAAAGTAAGTTTTGTTAATAATGATGTTTTTTTCGTTTAAGAAGATTGTGATTATTTTATTTACTTCAATTAAATGTATACACATTTAAATTCCTTTCTTTGATTATATTATCCCGTTTATCACTGACCTTGGCAGTTGTTGTTTTTATGAATGTTGTTTTTATGAATGAAAAAGGTCCGAAAATCGACGTAGGTGGGATGTTTCAAGAAATGTGGACAACTCGTCCCCGAGACAAGTCGGACCGAGTCCACTCTGACCGTCTAAGAAGACAACTCGGACCGCTTGTCAGATTTACTTAGGGTTTCATAAATTGTTAGACTAACATGTCTAGCGGAGTTAGCAATCTTTCGTTTGTGCATTGGGGTCTATTTAGGGGTATTTTGAGGGGCCTAAAAAAGGGGAGGAGCTTACTATAGAACCCTATGGGATTTTATTTTTTTCAATTTTCAAATGACTATTACTTGAAAACAGTAAGTGATAGACACACACGATCTTCAGTAATGATAACAGGACAATAGAACAAATCAAATAAAATATAGGGTGAGTCCCTGGGGGTCATCCTACCCCCTTCAATTTGAAAATGTGTTTTTATCTTGTAAACGGTCGCGATCCCCACCCCTAAACCATATATATACTTGTTTGGGACAATAAAACAAATCAAATGAAAATAATTTGGGGGAGTCTCAGGTGTCTACCCATCCCTTCTGTTTGAGAACTTGTAAATAGTCGAAATCCCCACCCCTTAACCATATATATTCATGTATGGGACAATATAACAAATCAAATGAAATATAGGAGGAGTCCCTTGAGGTCAACCCCATCCCCTTTTGTTAAGAACTGGTTAACGGTCGAAATCCCCACCCCTAAACCATACATATTCTTGTATGGAACAATAAAACAAATCAAATTAAATGTAGGGGAGCCCTTTAGGGGTCACCCCATCCCTCCTGTTTGAGAACTTGTAAACGGTTGAGATACCCACCCCTACAACATATATATTCTTGTATGGGACAATAAAACAAATAAAATAAAATATAGGGGATTAGTCTATGGGAGTCACCCTACCCCTCTTCTTTTTGAAAATTTGCAAACGGTCGAGATCCCCACCCCGAAACCATATATATTCTTGTATTGGACATTAAAACAAATCAAATGAAATAAAGGGAGAGTCCCCTGGGGATCAACCCCCACCTTTTGAGAACTTGAAAACGGTCGAGATCCCGACCCCTAAACCATATATATTCCTGTTCGTCAACTCAAGAATGTTTGAATGACATACATGGTCAATCTCCTAGGCATCACATATGCATATCACTTTACTTGTCCAAACCAATTTGTAGTGGACTCGGCCAAATGTCAGGCGACCATGGGAATGACGAATTATAGGAGCTTTGTTTGGGAGACTTCGTAACAGTATCCTGTTACAATTATTTCTTGTTTATTATAGAATTTAATTGATGCAAGAAATAAGTCTAGGTTGAATTTACTTTAATTATTTTTTGAGTTATTTCTGGGCCTATAAAAATTTTCATTTAAGGCTCATTTTAAAGGAAACATATTTAAGATAAATTAGAAATTAATTTTGAAAATGATAGGATTGGATAGCGGAAACATTAAGGTACACACATTTTTTTAACTTGAAATAGCTGAGATAAATAATTTAACCAATTCTTCCACAATATTCATCTTAACTTAAGCTTCTGCCACGTTTTCCTTGGTTTTTTTTTAATTAACTGCCTATAGCGCCCTTGGTGCTTTGATTTTTTTATGAAGTGAACTCCTTTAAAAACTAAGCTTACATTGTCTATTAATAAACATATATTTAGATTTCTGATTTTGGTTTAATTTCATCAAAAATTGAATTCTTGGGGTTCTTTGATATGCTGATTCTAACAATGTTTTAGTGGTTAAATCATATCTAATTTTATAATTTGAAAATATATAACATCATATCTAATTTTAGAGAACTATTTTTTAGTGGTTAAATCATATCGAATTTTAGAGAACTATTTGTTTATCATTTATTCAGTTTGAGTTATTTCCCTTTGAACAGAAAATTAATAAGTATATGGATAACATTAAACTGTGTTTCATTTCAACATAAATTAAACATATATATAGGGTTCTTTCAAATGCTGAATCTAAACCTGTATTTAGATATTGGATTTTTAGGCCCAGTGTTCAAGTTGGTCCAAATCAGGGTCCAAAATTAAACTTTGTTTGATTTCAACAAAAATTGAATTTATGTTTTTTTTTTGAAATGCTGAATCTAACCATGTATTTAGAGATTTTTGATTTTGGGCTCCTTTATCAAATTGGTCCACATTGAGGTCCAAAGGGTCCTAAATTAAACTTTTGTTTGATTTCATAAAAAATTGAATTCTTGGGGTTCTTTGATATGCTGATTCTAACAATATACTTAGATTTTGGATATTTGACCATAAAAGGTAAATGTCCAATTTCAAAATTTTCAGTTCTTTGACCACATTCATTTTGTGTCACAAACCTATGCTATGTCAAATATTCAATCACAATCCAAATTCAGAGCTGTTTTAAGCTTAAATGTAGTGTCCATACTTGCTCAACTGTTCAGGGTTCTACCTCTGCAGGAAATCCGGTTTGCAGTCACTCTGACAGCCTCTTGTTTATTACATATTTGAATTGACTTGGTGAAAGATAGCTTGTATGCAAATTTTCGTAAAAAAATCACCGCAGAATCAAAACTGTATCGTATGCCCTTAAGTGAGCGAATTTGATTCCAAATTTTAAGACTTTAATACGATTTATTTCGTTTCCTGGCTATTAGTTCTAATTCATTGCATATGAAGAGATATTTCTCAGAATAAGATGTTATTTTCTGTTATTTGGTTTTTATAAATTTCTTAGCTACATAACGTCTCTTTACCTCTAGCAGATTTCTTACCAATCATGATCATAAGACAGTATAAACTATTTGTATGTTGAAGTAGTGACCAGTTGTTTATAATATCTATTTCTCACTATTGGTCTATATTACAGCTGAAGTATTCTTACAACTTTCTTTAAAGAATAGAAAACTATCCGTTTCATCATGGTTAATCGACCTATTTAACTGATTTAGAATGGCTGATCTGTCAGATAAATTAGAAGCAGAAGTTACACACAGAGAAAATGCCGTTAGATTGTTGCATGGTCATGTAGAGAATGAGGATGGAAATATAAAAAGATCAGCAGTTAATAACTTTCTCCAGCAACTTAAGGATGACAGGCTATTTCAAAGGAAATTTATTATTTTTATATGCCTGTGTTACGCCTTTTTTGTTTTGGTAAGTTCCATTTATCCATCTTATTGTTTACTTATTTTGCAGAGAGAATTTTTCCTTAAAGTCAGTTTTTGTATGCGAGACATATAGGTTACCAGCCGGCGGCGGCGCCGGCGATGTAAACTAATTTTATAAAGCTTTATACCGGTATTTCAGAAGATAGGCCTGGATGCTTCATACCTTGTATGCAGATATCTTATGTTACGAAGTTTCCGTCTGTCATATGTCCATTGTCCTTGGCCTCATTTTCATGGTTCAGCGACTGCTTGAAAAAAAAAAGTCTTTTTGTCATGTGAATTTCTCACTTGTTATGAGTAATATGATAACTATATTTGGTACATGTCCGTCAGACCGTTCGCCTGACCTCGACATTGCATGGATCAGTGATGAAGGTTAAAGTTACATGATTAGGTCCGTTTCTCAGATACAATAAGCAGTAAGTCAACTTCATATTTTATGACGGAATGATACTAAACCCCTAACGGGAGGGATTGTGCTTGATTTTCATATGATGAAGACATAATCTTTACATCAGTTTAATTGAGGTCTGGAGCTGCCATGTCAGTAACTACTGGTCATTTTGCTTAGTTTCTTTTGTTACCTATTCTGAGATCGGACTCGGACTTCTCTTAAACTGAGTTTTACTGTGCGTATTGCTGTGTGTTTGTTTATTCTACATTAGCTAGAGGTATAGGGAGAGGGTTCAGATCTCACAAAACATGTTTAACCCCGCCGCATTTTTGCGCCTGTCCCAAGTCAGGAGCCTCTGGCCTTTGTTAGTCTTGTATGTTTTTTTTAATTTTAGTTCATTTATATGTATTGGAGTTTAGTGTGACGTCCATTTTCATTGAACTAGTACACATTTTTGTTTAGAGACCAGCTGAAGCCCGCCTCCGGGTGTGGGATTTTCTCGCTGTATTGAAGACCCATTCGTGGCCTTCAGCTTTTTTCTGCTTTTTGGTCGGGTTGTTGTCTCTTTGACACATTCACCATTTCCATTCTCAATTTTATTCATGTATATGTTGTGTATGGAATGATTGTAAGGGGTACATGTCAGTCTGGCAGGTTTAATCTGACCTTGACCTCATTTTCACGGTTCATTGGTCAATGTTATGTTTTGGTGTTTTGGTCTGTTTTTTCAAGTATTATAAACAATAGGTCAACTATATTTGGTTATGGAATGGTTGTAAGGTGTACATGTCTATCCGGCAGGTATCATCCGACCTTGACCTCATTTTCATGGTTCATTGGCCAATTTTATGTTTTTGTGATTTGGTCTATTTTTCAAATACTATAAGCAATAGGTCAACTATATTTGGTGTTTGAAATGATTGTAAAGTGTACAGATCTGTCTGGCAGATATAATCTGACCTTGACCCCAATTTCATGGTTCAATGGTCAATGTTAAATTTTTGTGTTTTGGTCTGTTTTTCAATTACAATAAGCAGTAGGTCAATTATATTTGGCATATTGAATAATTGTAAGGTGTACATGTCTGTCTGACCTCATTGCCATGTATATTTAGAAATATTAAGTTGATGTGATACTTGTAGTAAAACCTTTGTCTTTAAGACTTTCAATATGAATTTAATGGTCAGTAAAGCAGGCGAGACATTTCAGCGTGTGCACTCTTGTTGAATAATAAAATATATTTAAAATCAATTAAACATTGTCCATTTTAAATGAAAAATAAAAACTTTTTATGCCCCTGCCATAGCAGTGGGTGCATTAAGTTTTACCCTTGTCCGTCTGTACGTACGTACGTACGTCCGTCCGTACATCCCAAAATTGGTTTCCGTTCTCTAACTTGAGTTTGCCTCAACCAAATGTTATGAAACTTATGCACAATGCTTATTACCACAAAACACAGATCAAGCTTGAATTTTGGTGGCGTCACTTTAACCGTTCTAGAGTTATGCCCCTTTACAAATGGAAAAATTGCAAAATGTTTAGTTTCCGTTCTGTAACTTAAGTTTGCCTCAACCAAATGTTATGAAACTTATACACAATGCTAATTATCACAAAACACAGATCAAGTTTGAATTTTGGTTGCGTCACTGTAACCGTTCTAGAGTTATGCCCCTTTATAAATGGAAAAATTGCAAAATATTTAGTTTCCGTTCTCTAACTTAAGTTTGCCTCAACCAAATGTTATGAAACTTATACACAATGCTTATTACCACAAAACACAGATCAAGTTTGAATTTTGGTTGCGTCACTTTAACCGTTCTAGAGTTATGCTCCTTTATAAATGGAAAAATTACAAAAATTTTATTTTCTTCTAAATATCAAGTAATTTTTATTTTGGAGTTATCTTCCTTTGTCCATGATTATAGTTGAATCAACTATAATCAATGCTTTATACAATGCAATATTTAATTTTGACTTCCACTGATAAAACACAGATCAAGTTGAATTTGGGTAGTGTCACTTTAACCATTATTGAGTTATGCCCCTTTATAAAACGAAAGATTGCAAAATTTTTAGTTTCCATTCTGTAAATAAGTTTGCCCAAACCAAACATTATGAAACCTATACACAATATTCATTACCACAAAACTAAGATCAAGTACAAATTTTTTGTCTCCGTTTTCTAACTTTAGTTTGCCAAATGTTATAAAACTTATACACAATGCTTATTACTACATAATACAGATTAAGTACGAAATTTGGTGGCGACACTTTTACCATTCTTGAGTTATGTCCCTTTATAAACATAAAAATTGCTGAATTTTATAGTTTGTCTCAACCAAATGTTATAAAACTTATACACAACCGTTCTAGAGTTATGCGTGTTTACAAATAGAAAAATTGCTGAATTTTTAGTTTCTGTTCTCTACTTAAGTTAGCCTCAACCAAATGTTATGAGACTTACACACAATGCTTATTACCACAAAACTCAGATCAAGTTCAAATTTGGGTAGTTCTTCAGTTATGTTCCTTTATAACTATATGATATGCAAGCGGGGGCATCATCTGTGTCCACATGTGGACACTATCCACATTTATTTAATCATGTATCTCAAAGTATATTCCATCCTTAGATAGATTAAATTTATCATTACAGGGTCTGAATATCGGCCAGTTTGGACCAACATTGTTGGATCTGCAGATGATTACTGGATGTAGCTTAGATCAAGCTTCATATTTCTTTAATGCCCATACCATTGGATATTTAATATCTTCGGTGTTGACCGGCATTATGTTCGAAAGAATCAACAAGCTGTTGCAGATGTTCTTTCCTGCTCTTATATTGTCCGGGGTGGTTGCAGCTATTCCATGGTGCATTATATATGAAGTTATGGTCACCATACATTTTTTCAAAGGTTGTTGTTTGGGATTTATTGATGCAGGTAAATAGTCTACTATTTTGATTGTTAAATGTCCTTCATTCTAGGCAAATATCCAGTTGAAATGAAACAGTATTACCTTAACTTCTTTCTCTTAAATATATAGGATTAAACGAAACAAACAATATATTCATAATCCGATAACTCAGACAGCTTGAAGGACACCGGATTTTAATAATTATCAAAACAGACAAGAATACAACTCATAAGCAAAAGCATATATACATTAGGAAAATCATTACAATTATAATGAAATGCTAGTATACTGTCTTTTAAGCAAATAAATTAATTACAAATAATGGCAAAATCTCTTATCAACGACGATCCCGCCTTCCAGGAAAAACTAAAACGAGTCAACTCGGTCAAACTACGTTAAAAACTGAATATGACGAGGAAAAGTCTCTAACCCAAGATACAGAACTCTTTTTTCTAAAGTGTCAGCAATGTAACCGTCTTTGCTAGTGTCAGACTTCCATCTACTGTGCCTTTTAATGCATCGTTCATTAACTTCTGAACTGACAGCGGCGGTCTCCCCACCTGCTAACAATAAATGCAAACCTAAATTCAACGAAGTGCGACTAATTTCAGACTTTTCAATATAATTTTCTAGCTGCTGTGTTACTTGTTTTCTTTTTATGTCTAAATATATAAAAATCTGAATGCAGATCCAATTTTGCCACCTGGATATAATTTTTGAAAATATTGACTGGACATGCGAAAGTTTTCCCGTTTGAAATTAAAATTTCATTGCCCTGCCTATATTGGTCCGTTTTGCTTTAAGAAATAAATAATTTCAAAAATTTATCATACAAAATAACGCTTTTACATTTTAAAGAACTAAACTCGTCAAAACGGAGAAATCCTGCAAAGATTAACACTATCATAGCCAAATCCCTTACAACTACTCAATTATTTGAATATTCGAATTTTGTACATAGTTCAATAATCATGTCAATACTAACAGGTTCTTTCGTGTTGGCAGGTTTTCCGTTTAATCCCTTTGATCGATTCTTGTAGTGATTTAACGAAAGAATAATCAGTAGGGTCAGCAAAATCATCCAACCTATGTACTCATTTTCAAAAATAAATAGCACATTAATAACATTTGGAGAACAGTTTTTATACGACCGCAAAAAATTTTTGCGGTCGTATATTGGTATGACGTTGGCGTCGTCGTCGTCGTCGTCGTTGTCGTCGTCGTTGTCGTCGTCGTCGTCGTCGTCCGGCGTCGTCCGGCGTCGTCCGAAGACACATTGGTTTTCGCACTCTAACTTTAGTTTAAGTAAATGGATCTCTATGAAATTTTACCATAAGGTTCAATACCACAAAAGGAAGGTTGGGATTGATTTTTGGGGGTTATGGTACCAACAGTTAAGGAATTAGGGGCCAAAAAGGGGCCAAAAATAAGCATTTTTGTAACTTCCAGACATAACTTGTGTGTTAGTGTATGGATCTCTCTGACATTGTACCACAAGGTTCCATATCACACAGGGAATGCTGGGATTGATTTTGGGGGTAATTGCCTCAAAATATTAGGAATTAGGGGCAAAAAAGGGGGCAAAAAACAAGCATTTTTCTAGTTTCATGACAATAACTTGTGTGTTAGTGTATGGATCTTTCTGAAATTGTACTACAAGGTTCCATATCACAAAGGGAAAGCTGGAATTGAGTTTGGGGGTAATTGCCCAGAACGTTTAGGAATAAGGGGCCAAAAAGGGGCCAAAAATAAGCATTTTTCTAGTTTCCAGACAATAACTTGTGTTCAAGTGTATGGATCTCTCTGAAATTGTACCACAAGGTTCCATATCACACAGGGAATGCTGGGATTGATTTTGGGGGTAATTGCCTCAAAATATTAGGAATTAGGGGCAAAAAAAGGGGCAAAAAACAAGCATTTTTCTAGTTTCATGATAATAACTTGTGTGTAAGTGTATGGATCTTTCTGAAATTGTACTACAAGGTTCCATATCACAAAGGGAAAGCTGGAATTGAGTTTGGGGGTAATTGCCCAGAACGTTTAGGAATAAGGGGCCAAAAAGGGGCCAAAAATAAGCATTTTTCTAGTTTCCAGACAATAACTTGTGTTCAAGTGTATGGATCTCTCTGAAATTGTACTGCAAGGTACCATACCACAAAGGGAAGGCTGGGATTGAGTTTGGGGGTGATGAATCATAAGGGGGTTCAAAAAATTTTGGGGGGGGGGTTTCCTTTTTTTTCTTTTTTTCCTTTTTTTTTTCTTTTAAAATTTTCCATTTTAAGTTGGTTATTTCTGTTTTATATTTAAAAGCAAATAATAATGATATGGTAGGAGATACACACCAAACAGGATGTGTAAATTATTATATAATAAGTATTGTGCAATAGCAAGAAATTTTCAATTGCACAGTATTGCACAATAGCAAGAAATCTTCAATTGCACAGTATTGTGCAATAGCAAGAAATCTTCAATTGCACAGTATTGTGCAATAGCAAGAAATATCCAATAGCACAATATTGCGCAATAGCAAGAAATTGTCAATTGTACAGTATTGCGCAATAGCAAGAAATATTCAATTGCACAGTATTGTGCAAAAGAAGATACTTCGTATAAATTGCTTATTTCTTGACCAATTTCAATGAGGTTTTATTCTTGAATTTTTGGGGTTCTTTAATATGCTGATTCTAACCGTGTATTAAGTTTTTGGATTTTGGGCCCCGTTTTTAAATTGGTCCACATTGAGGTTCAAAGGGTCCAAAATTAAACTTTGTTTGATTTCATCAAAAATTGAATTATTGGGGTTCTTTGATATGCCGAATCTAACCGTGTATTTAGATTCTTAATTTTTGGTTCCGTTTTCAAATTGGTCTACATTAAGGTCCAAAGGGTCCAAAATTAAACTTAGTTTGATTTTAACAAAAATTGAATTCTTAGGGTTCTTTGATATGCTGAATCTAATCATGTATTTAGATTTTTGATTATGGGCCCAGTTTTCAAGTTGGTCCAAATCGGGGTCCAAAATTAAACTTTGTTTGATTTCAACAAAAATTGAATATATGGGGTTCTTTGATGTGCTGAATCTAACCATGTATTTAGATTTTTGATTTTTGGGCCCCATTATCAACTTTGTCCACATTGAGGTCAAAAGGGTCCAAAATTAAACTTTGTTTGATTTCATCGAAAATTGAATTCTTGGGGTTCTTTGATATGCTGAATCTAACCATGTATTTAGATTTTGGATATTGGACCATAATAGGTGAATGTCCAATTTAAAATTTTTAAGTTCTTAGACCACATTCATTCTGTGTCAGAAACCTATGCTGTGTCAAATATTTAATCACAATCCAAATTCAGAGCTGTATCAAGCTTGAATGTTGTGTCCATACTTGCCCCAACTGTTCAGGGTTCGACCTCTGCGGTCGTATCAAGCTGCGCCCTGCGGAGCATTTTATTGACTATTAAATTTTTCACTCCGAGTGTACAATGCGACGTGAATAGGACCAGCCGATAAATTATTAAAACCATGTTCTTTGATAAATGTACTCAATCTGTTGAAACTAAAAAATATGTCTCGTTTGTATTGTTACTTCTTGAATTAAGTAGAATAATACAATTTTTCTGTGGTAAATAAAAGTATTTTCATGAAATCAAGGAATTTACCATTTCTTTGTTAAATAGGCCAATACGGGGCAGAGGTCCATTCAGGACTATAATATTTTGAATATGTGATTATGTTTTTCTTGACTTTGAAAAAATATACCTTCAATTGATTGGATGGAATAAGTATATTTTTAACTTCATAAACAATTAGTTTATTCTTTTCTTTTCTTTTGTAGTTGGTAATGCCATCTTGCTGCATATATTTGCTCAGAACGTGAAGACATATATACAAATTTTACATTTCACCTTTGCTTTTGGAGGAATTATTTCACCTATCATATCGGCATCTTTTCTGACGTCTCCGAATAAAAACAATGATATAAGCTCCAAAAAATCCGAAGTCAAGTTTCATGTCGAAAATACATCTCTACCTTTTGCGGTAAACTTCACACTACAACAATCCGATGTGGCATTTAATGTATCTGAATTTTTCAGCCAAAACGAATATAACAGAGGTAACGGAGATTCAGAAGTTTACAAAGCATACACAATAATTGCGTTCATATCATTGTCTTCTGCCTTTCCTTTCTTAGTGCTTTACATTCTCAGTAATGAATCGAGTTGTCCTACGTCACAAATTCAAATCGAGAAAGATGAAAAAGAAGCCATACCGTTTCGTTTACGAGTATCGGTGTTGGTTATATTAGCTTTTGTAATTGCTTTTTATACTGCGTTGGAAGATACATATGCAGGGTTTTTGATGACGTTCACCGTAAAACATTTAAAATGGACGAAAGCGCAAGGAGCATTTGCTACATCAGTTTTTTGGACTTCTTTTGCCGTAGGGAGGTTTTCTGGTATTTTTATTGTAAATGTATTCAAACAAGCTAGATTATTACGGGTGTATAGTTTGCTGATAATTGCAGCATTTATTTGCCTGCTTGTAACATCATTAAATCTTATTAGTGAAGGTGTATGGGTGGCATCTGTCATCGCAGGATTTGCTATGTCAATCTTTTTTCCAATATTTTTTTCATGGACGGAAGAAAAATTCTTCCATGTTGACGGTAAAGTAACGGCATTGATCATGACATGTGCAATGATCGGTGTGATTGTCAACCCAATTATCCTTGGCAGAAAAATGAAGACCACGCCGATTTGGTTTGGCTATGTTTTATTAGTAGAAAGTGGAATGCTATTTTTATGTTTTAGCATTGGAGAATACATAGCAAGGTTGATAAAATGTTCGAGGCAAAAGTCGCATTTTGAAAGAGAAACCATGATTAACCTAGAAACTGTTGATCCACTTGTAAGTGACAATAAAATTTAATGTTCCGATTCTTATTATTTTGCACTCATTTAAAACAGATGCCACTGGCAGTTAAGCAAGACTGATTATACCCCACGCAACGAGTTGCGGAGGGTATAATGTTTTTGACCCGTCCGTCCGTCTGTCCGTCTGTCCGTCCGTCAGTCCGTCAGTCCGTCAGTCCTGTTTCTTGTCATCGCAACTCCTCTCAAACCACACAACAGAATTTCACGAAACCTTTTTAGATAATAAGGACATACTATGTAGTTGTGCATATCGACAGGAAATTTCGATTCAATTTTTTCTAGGAGTTACGCCTCTTTGAACTTATTTACTTTAATGTACTACTGCAACAGTTTGTCATCTCAATTCCTCTGAAACCACACTACAAAATTTCATGAAACTTTGTAGATAATTAGGACATACTACGTAGATGTGCATATCGACAGGAAATTACGATTCAATATTTTTTCCAGGAGTTACGCCCCTTTGAACTTATTTTCCCAATATACTACTGCAACCTTTTGTCATCGCAACTCCTCTCAAACCACACAACGGAATTTCATGAAACCTTTTCAGATAATAAGGACATACTACGTAGATGTGCATATCGACAGGAAATTACGATTCATTTTTTTTTTAGGAGTTACGCCCCTTTGAACTTATTTGCTTCAATATATCTCTGCAACAGTTTGTCATCGCAACTCCTCTGAAACCACACAACAGAATTTGATGAAACTTTGTAGATAATAAGGACATACTAGGTAGATGTGCATATCGACAGGAAATTATGATTCAATTTTTTTTTCTTATACAATTTTTTTTTCTTACAGTTATTTTATTTCTCCAGTGACAATGTGGGGACGTGGGGTATGTGAGCGCGCTCACTAAGGTTCTTTAATTAAGTAAAAGATTATGAATCTCTTAAATAAGATTACGAAGAAGTTAATAAACTATAACTAAATATCTAGGTTATTAATCTAAACTTGGATGTATTATTCATTATGTGTATTAGAAACTGCACGTGCCTTGAACGACTACACACACAATCTGTTTGATTGTCGTAAAGCAAATTAATCCAAAATTGTGCTATAAAAATGATATTTACATGTGTATATGAATAAAGGGGATATGTAAACATCAATGAGACAGAAACCAAACGACAAAAATAGCTAAAAGACATTACGAGGACAACACACAGTCTATAACAATAGCTCTAAATTGTCCCGTGTCTACAAAATTGCGAATAAATCAAGCAGAAACTATCAAAGATCTGCCATCAACACCAAAGTCTCCAATCAACCAAAACATTAAGGTATCATAACATAAGACAACCACTGGCCAGGTTTCTGACTTGTGTTTGGCCCATGAATATGTGACAGGATTAAGCTATTTTTTTTTAGATATAAATTAACTCCTTAATCTCGACCAATTGACTAACAAAGGGTACAAGAAAGAACACTAATTAAAAATCAGAAAAGGAAAACACCAAAAAATATAAATAATTATAATATGACTTTCTCCTTTTGCTTTGGATACAAAGCCATGTTCTATTTCCAATAAAACATGGGCTGCACGTGATTGGCGTCACAAAAAACTGATGAAATTGCAACGTCAGTTGAATTTTGAACAACGCCGGAGATTAAAATGGACATTTTTGTGTTGGTGTTCAACACAGTTCCTGTATTGTAGCTATCAGGCAATGCCTACCATTACCATGTTTTCTGAAAACATGTGTTTACATGTTCACGCACCTGCTAATTCTTTGGTACAGATCGACATTTCGACTTCTATAAAGTTTGACATCCGTTGTTAACGTAAATCCATCATGTTTTCAGTGATCTATTTATTCATATCTCCCCAGTGTTCAACCGTTTCATCATATTTGTTAATCACTCAATTTAACATTGATTTAAACATAAATTCAAAGGATAAATCATTCTCATTGCATTTTAGAATGTTTGACTCGGTAAACAATATTTATGCATTTCTGCCATGTTTCTTGCAGTTGATGTTTCAGGCCATTTGAGTACATTCTGCTCACACTTGTTTTCTTGAGTTGAATCCCCAAAAATGTGCTTTCAATATTTGTAAATATAAAAAGCTGACGACCTAAGTCAGAATGGTTTTCACTTAACTTGTTTATTTTAGTGAACTTAACCCCGGATGTTACTCCCTCATGCAAAGTTAATTTGGCTGCTCTGTTTAAAACTTTAAAGATCGATGCCATTGCTTTTGAAAAGTTTTTTTTAAATTTGGCTTTCCAAAATATTTAGCGTCGAGCATAACATGGTAAAGCTTATTCCGGAAACTCTTGTGTGTAGAAAAATCGTCATCAAATGTTTATAGTTTCATACCTTTCCCCTGCCCTATTTCCCCTACGTTCAGGTAACGGGATTATGTTCAGTATCCTGTTTACTATATCATTTGTTACACATCAAATTCAAAAAGTGTTATTTTCATGTTCTAGCACTGGGTCAATACCGTTGATACTGGACTGCTAGTCCCTAAGGGTATCATCAACTCAGTGGTCGGTGTTACGGTACTGACACGATTTATTACACACCTTCTCTAAAGAAATTATGAAGGAAATAAGGTTCCAGCTCACTCAAGCAAAGTTGACCGTACATTGATTTTGGCCATTCTCTTGATGTTCTTGATGGTCATATATATATATCTTTTTATAGGACATAAAAGGAATCTAAGGTCAACTTTGCATGAGGGAAGTGAAACTTAAAAGTTTCTTCATTATAATTTCTTAATTTAGCAACACAGAATTTAGAAAAAATTTCAATCATGTCAACACCGAACAATAATTAACTCCGACATTTCGAGCAGGAGCGAAAACAACAGTCCTATAGTTTCTAAAGGGAAACAACTCAATTGTAACAGGTTACCGATTTTCACTGGTAAAGAAAAATAGAAAGTACGGTATTATTTCACATATTTGAAGCTATTTCTAGTTTAAGCAAGTAGTACCAACAATGATTGATGCCTCGTTAATTTTAATCAAAAAAAAAATAAAAAAAACCGAAACGATGACCATATCTAGAAAAACAGCGAAACCCCATAACCCACCAATATACATGAATCATACGCTTATACAAAGAGTTCAAAAGCATAAACATTTATGGTTAATTTTTCAAGAAAACTGCTTTTGGGAAAGTCATGTTAACTATATTATTGATAAAGCTACTCCGCGCTTAAATCTCATTAGAAACTTAAAAGTTAAGTTATCACGTAATCATCTGCAAATTATTTCAGTATATCAGTTTCATCAGGCCTATTCTCGAACATGTGGATACTGTGTGGGATAACCTACCAACTTATTTGAAGGACAAAACTAGAAAGCATCCAAATAGAGGCGGCTCATATTGCCACAGGAGCCACCAAACTTAGTTCTCAAACTAAACTTTAGTGTGGACTGACTGGGTACCTCTTAGTGAAAGAAGATCCAGACATAAAACTATCAAAAAATGAAAACAACACGTAATTAATTTCCTGCATCCGAAGCGCATTTCTGGATTTACCTTCATCATTAACGCTCAAAGCCGAATATTTGAAAGCCAAGGATGTATAAGAACCGAAACAGTTGAAGAGCTATATGACCTAAAATACCTAAAAAAAATAGCCAAATTCATCTAGGGTCAACTTTGCCTGAGGGAGTTGAAACCTTAGTTTCTTTAAAATTTCAAAATTTATAAACGGAAAATTTTAGAAAGGTTTGTTATAAATCATTTCAGTACCGAAGTACTTACTACTGAGCTGGTGATACCCTCGGGGGCTGGTAGTCCATCCGCAGAGGTAGCGACCCAGTGCTGTACAAAATGAAAACAACACGTTATTAATTTCATGCGTCCGAAACGCTTTTCTGGATTTACCTTCATCAGTATAAAATCTCTCGAAATGTTTCATGATCAGGCTCCTGATTACCTTTGTAGTCCCGTACCTCAACAACTTTGCCAGGTTTATAACTATAATACTAGAAGGGCATTTGATGTTCAAAATATCAACTGAAGAACTTCTTTTTATTAAAATTCCCTCCTATACATCTGTTATTCGT